ACATGAAGCCATTGATCTCCACCCTGTGTGTGTGATCTCACAACCATTTCCTCATCCATCAAACAGTCCACCTATCAAATGCATATCTTTCCAGATTGGAGAGAAGTATGGTATGGGAGACCACGTCTTTACTGAAATCCAGATAGATGGCATCAATGTCTCTTCTCTTATACACTGACAGTACACAGTTATGCCATCATAAAAAGCAGCACTGTTGGTCAGGCAGCACCTGCCATTGGTGAAGTCATGCTAGTTATCCCATATCACCTCCCTCTCTTTCATATGCCTTAACATAACTTCCAGGAGGATCTGCACCATGATCTTCCCTGTCACCAAGTCATCCTTTCTACCCTTCTTAAAAATGAGTCCTTTATTGCCTTTTTTTCCAGTCACCAGAGACTTCACCTGAGCTTCCTTGACTTTTCAGTTATCATTGAGAGTGACTTGTCAGCTATGTCAGACTTTTCCCTCAGGTCTCTGAGATGCAGAGTATTCTTCTGGGAGGAAGGGTGTTCTTACAAATTCTCAGCCACTTGGAGATTCCTTCACAGCCTGGGAAAATTCATGTTTTCGACCTGGCTATGCTCTTCATTGGTTGCAGAAGATCCAGTCCCTCAATTTTCTACATAACTGGAAATTCCATGTTGCTTGCTAAAACCTTGTACCATGTTCTTATGGTTGCAAGAAACAGTCTGGACTCTGAGAGCTCATGTGAGAAAATAAAAACTTCCTTATGACTTATGGTAGGTTTTGTTCCCTTCTGAACAAAGACGAAAGCAGGTACTACAGAGAAGAAAATACTCTTTTATTTTCTTTTAATACATATGAAAGTTAATGAGCTTTGAAGGTACCTCATATACATGTTTCTTTCAACAATGTCCTTTTCCAGTTCGGCACAAGATTGGGTCCATGTCACTCTTCAGACATAAAAGGATGGGCACCTGGAGCTGATATTATGCCTGTGAAGTAGACAGCATGTAGGAGAAGGAGTCTAGCTGTGCTGGAGGGAGATCGATCACAGATGAGGTCTGTGTAAAGCTCACATTGAGCATCAGTAAGTTTGCAGATGACACCAAGCTGGGAGGTGGTGTTGATCTGCCTGAGGGTGGGGAGACCCTGCAGAGGGATTTAGACAGGCTGGATTTCTGGGCTGAGGTGAATGGGATGAGGTTCAACAAGGCCAAGTGTCGGGTCCTGCACTTTGGCCTCAACAACCCCATCCAGCGCTATAGGCTTGGGGATGAGTGGCTGGATGAGTGTGAAGAGGAAAGTTTGGTTGATGCTCAGCTGAACATGAGCCAGCAGTGTGCCCAGGTGGCCAAGAGAGCCAACGGCATCCTTGCCTGCATTAGAAATAGTGTGGCCAGCAGGAGCAGGGAGGTGATCATCCCCCTGTACTCAGCACTGGTGAGGCCGCACCTCGAGTGCTGTGTTCAGTTTTGAACCCCTTACTACAGGAAAGATGTTGAGGTCCTGGAGCGTGTCCAGAGAAGGGCAACAAAACTGGTGAGGGGTCTGGAGCACAAACCTTATGAGGAGCGGCTGAGGGAGCTGGGATTGTTCAGTGTGGAGAAGAGGAGGCTCAGGGGAGACCTCATTGCACTCTACAACTTCCTAAGGGGAGGCTGTGGTGAAGAGGGATTTGGCCTCTTCTCTCAGGCAACGAGCAGGACACGGGGCAATGGCCGCAAGTTGTATCAGAGGAGGTTTAGGTTGGACATAAGGAAGAACTTTTTCTCTCGGAGAGTGGTCAGGCACTGGAATGGCTGCCCAGGAAGGTGGTGGATTCACCGTCCCTGGCAGTGTTCAAGAGGCATCTGGATGACGTGCTGCGTGATGTGGTTTAGTGCTTGTGGTAGCAATGGTGTTGAGGAGACGGTTGGACTAGGTGATCTTATAGGTCGTTTCCAACCTTGTAATTCTATGATTCTATGATTCTATGATCACCTCATCCACTCAGCTCCACAGGGCCAGCTTGCAGTTGGGCCCAGTACATTGCTAGGACTGCTCTGCCCGTCAAGGCCATGTAAGGGTAAGATGCAGCATAAATGCCATTTCTTGCAAAAGGTGCTTGACTGATGCTCCTGTGTTTATCCATGGACTAGTTGTAGAAAGTGAGGGAGATGTAGCCAAGCAACTTCTTGAGTATTTATCCTTGTTTTATGGTTTGCGCCATGGGAAGGGCTGTTCTCAAGGACCAGATTCTCCTCATGATTGTACAAGAACTGAAAACAAAGACAGCTGCCTCGTGCAGAGCTTTAGATGTGGGCTAGAGATAGGAGCAAGCAGCCAGCAATGCTGGCCAGAAATAGGAGGGAGAACATTGTGAGAAGGCACAAAAATAGAGACAGTGAGTGTGACAGAACACGTTCTTGGATAGCTACTCAGCTGTCATTCACAGTTTTAATGTTTTGCAGAGCCAAAGTATTTACCTCCAAGACAAGAAGCATACTTGAGTTTCCAGAGGTTATTTAGTTCTTGATCTGTGGCTTAATATGAGCATTTGGTTATTACCTGCAATGACTGCTCTGTGAGGAACGCATCTGGCTTTGGGGAAATGGAATATTAAGTTAATGTTGGCTAAATCACTTCACTGGTGAGAAATTAGGTCAAATTTTGTGTTAAATGAGTTTTGAGGTGGAGGAGCTTAAGGTCCTGTGCACAGATATGTTTAAGTTCCCCTGTTCTCCTAGCATCAAATTGCCCATGGGGAATATCCTAAATTTTAAGTGACCAAGCCAGACATTAGGAAGCAAGTCAGAGACTATTATCTGTTCTTAACATATTCATTGGATTGGGATTCCAAGGTGTTATTTGTGCAGGTGCTGTGTGAATTCATTGCACAAAATCATACTCTGTAGGTTCTAAAGCTGGAAGTAGAGCCAATCTACTTAGCTATAGTGAAAAAGTGTTGTACTATCAGCCTAAGATGGGCCAAAATTTCTTTCAAAAATACAAAACTGATAAAGTCTATACATGAGTTACACATTGCCTCAAAGAAAATTGGGAAAGCAGTAGACTTTCTAGACTGAATTGCTTGACCACGTCTTCAGAATGTTATACCAAAAAGGGTACAAGCACATACATTTGTGCTGTGAAAAAGCTTATGCCTACCAACAATGAAAGAAAAAATTCTTGAACAGCCATTTCCCCATCCGAATATGGGATGTTTTCTGGTCTCACAGGTCAGCACATTTTACACACCAAAATCCAAACGAAATTTGTGTTTAGCCCATATCAGTGTTAAAATCCCAGAGTCCTAGACGAGGTCCAGCAGTTGCTAAGAGCTGGAGTGCAAGATATCTATAGATAAGTGAGTTTAAGCCCTGGGATCTGCTGTGACATTCGCAGGTCACTTTCCATCTCTGCCTCCTTCCAGTTGCAGCTGTATGGCTCCTGGACAGTGCTGCTTGTTTGTGTAGTGCCTGGTACGATGTGCTTCCAGCAGATTTGCCGGCTGCTGTGTGATCTTGTGATATTAATAATATCACAGCATTATAACTGGACCATTCTACTCCGTAGTTTGTTCTTCTATAAATGATTTATAAGTTTTATGCATTTTATATGCCTCTCATTAAAAATACATTGAAAAATACTATCAAAATACCATTTTGTGAGGCTCAGGCTCTCTTTATTCTTGTTACAGCCATCTGCCATTAAGCTTTAATAACTGACTGATTATAATTTATTAATTTATCACCTGTTCTTTATACAGTTGGATAAAATAATTGTCAACCAATGTGAAATGGCCTCCCATTGGGTTATTAATCCCCAAAGCAATTAGAAAACCCACTGATTGAACAAACCATTGAAAATGGGCAGTAACTCATGTTAGAAATGATATGCAGTGCTCACATCAGCACACTTAGTGCGTGACTGGTAATAGGGTTTCTGTCAGCAGCATGGATTTGAAAAGGGGTAGTTTAACTAGGCAAGCTTTTATTTTTATTTATTTATTTTATAATAAGCTTGGAATTCTAGGGCTGATGATATACGTGTAGGCTTCAGCTTGTCTTACAGATTTTCTGAGCATAGTATGAGGAAGGTGACACAAACTTGGTATATATGTATTGCATGAATGCTTCTTAAGCCTGTTTTGGAGAGATTTCAGCCTCTACTACACTCCCCCAAGAATGAAGGGTAATTTAGGGATAGCTATAAATACCAAGTCATTTAAGAGATTGCCTTCAGTCAGCTTTGGATGAAGACACCAGACTTTAGTATCTCTCCTTTGATTTTTATCTGCACAGATTCCAATATATGTGGGTGTTTGTGGGCTTTCTGATATGGATATTTACAGTATGCAAGAAGACATGGAGCCAATGGTTTGTTGAATTCTACAGCTGTCATTTAGCAAAGACATTTGCTTAGTTTGAAAGAGAAGGAGATATGCAGGCTACCCCAGATGTGAAGGAGCTCCTTATCTCCTGCCTTATTGCAGTGCAGATTTCCAGCTACCTGTGTTACAATGCCTCCACAACTAAAAGTCACATTCATTTTTGATGTAGTTTGAACTAATTTTCTGATGAGAAGGAAAAAAATGCCACTGACATCACATGAGAGAGCAGAGCCCCACCGCTGAAGAAGCTGCAGATGTTTCTTTGTCCTAAATGAAGCTGCCTGGCACCTTTTGTGTGTGTTCAGGCACTGGGGATGTGCCGTGCTGCCAATTACAGCAGTGTTTTCTTCCAGATCGCTTGAGATGGTTTGGGAGAAATTTTATTTAAACAAAATGATTACAAAGATCTAAAAACTGCCAATATTTTGCTATTGAAACAAGGCCCTGGGCAGGCTCAGGAAGAGATTTTTTTGTCTCCCTCTTTTGTATTGAAATACTGTGTAATTAATAGATCTGTGCATTAGTGCAGTGTACCAAATACGGAGTATGAGAAACTCTTGAGTCTTCCACCTATATTATGCTCTCTCTGTATGATCATAGCATAGCTGAATTACTGTTTTTTCACCAAACTTCTCTGTGTATCTTTGCTCTTCCATTACAGCATTTTTAACTTCTCAGCTAAAGTTGGAGAAACTGACAAAAAGAACAAGAAAAGCTGGCTATTGGACAGATCATATTGGGAGAATTGTAATTCCTCCTATTGGGAGCCCAAAGCAGAAGTAAGGAAGCTATTTTTTATATTCTTATAGTACTTCTGGTTTTTTTGTTGTTTTGTTTTTTTTTTTTTTAAGTAAAAAATAAGAAGATATTTCATGCAAATGTGCTTGACAATGTCCAAGACAAATGTGAAGATCTAAGGGTTTCAGAAAATAGAGATAAAAGCACAATGAGTTATTTCTCTCAAAGCTCGAAACACTACAGATAAAGTCCTGTAGAAAAATAAATAGAAATGGTGCAGCCAAACATAAATGTCTTGCACTAAAGGCACACACCTTTGCCTACAGGACTGTCAGTTGGAGTCAGGATAGAAGGGATCTTCCACCTCTTCCCACCTGCACTGACATCAGGACACTTCTCTGCATTAGTAAGGTATGGTAATGATGACAGTTTCTTCACCCTAGCTTGCAAGTGAGTGTTCACCTCTGTCACAGTACAGACCACAGTAATCCAATCAGATTTTTCCAAGTTTTGGAACACTCAGGTCTTGTGGAGTCCGGATCTCAGCATCAGTTTGGGATCTTATGGGTGTGGGAAAAATTTTGACAAAGAGTCTGATCCAAGCTAGTGGAAAAGTCATTTTTCAAACAGCAGATTGACAGCTTTGCTGTTTGTGTTTTCTCTGCAGGTTAGAGATTTCCAATTATGGTTAGTTTCAAATGTTAATTAAGCAACATGTGCAGAAGAGTATCATGGAAGGAAGTCCATGTTCAAATCAGGACTAAGTTAAATAATCCATGTAACAGGACTCCGTCGCTGTACTGCCTGCAAAGTTTGTGATCACTCAGAAAACTTCACAGCTGAAGTCTGTGTCATAAAATCTTCTGAGGTTGTGCTCCTGGCCTTTCCCCTCATCAGAATCTTCATCTAAGGAAGCTGTCATACTCATGACACAGTTTCAATGTGGGGGCCACTGCATACTTTGGTAGAACCATTTCCAATCATGCAGGAAGATAATTGTTGCAAAAATGTAGGAGACTTCATCATAGAGCTAATCTCAAATTTGCAAATCTTGGTCATATTCTACGCACATTTTTTACAACATATGCACTTCTGTGTGTCATTTAACTCATCAGAGCAGCATCCTATATATAATATAATTCTATATTTTATCTATTATGAGTGTAATGATAAAATTGGAAGTGCCTGAGTATTCAAAGCCTGAAGGAAAGACGTTGGACTATGCAGAGCAGAACAAAACAATCCTGGTTCATTCTTATCTGTAGTATCTGCTGGGAAATATTTTCAGAGTAGAATATCTAGGAAAAAACACTTCAGTTTTGCTTATAAGAACACTACAAAAGTGGCATGGGGGTGAATTAATCATGCAGTACAGAGAATCAGAGAATCAGAATCAAGACCAAGGGTGAGTTAGAAAGTGAGATGATGATGTAAGCATCCCACCTAGGTCGGTACATGCAAATTGAGGGGCACAGAGAGGTCTGGGAAAGTGTTGGGGAGCACAGTATTCAAATGCAGCAACTACTTCTTCAGCAGTGAAATAGTGTATGTCCATGTGAAAACAGAGTCTGAGCTTCAATTGGTAATCCTGCTGTGAATGAAAAGCACACACCCAGATTTGGGTTTCTCAGCTTCACCTGAGTAATTTTGGAAATGAAGACATAACATCAGAGGCACAAGATTGATTATTTATTTATTTATGTGGGAAAAACTATTATTAGGTGCTTAAGAGAATAGCAATAGAATAGTTAATGCACAACACCTAACTTTATTTTTCAAATACTGAGTACTTGGCTTTGTTAGCAGCTTCTCAGCCATATTTCATCTCTCCTTCAGGAAAGTCTTGTGAAGGTAACCTGTTTAACAAAGCTGTGCCATAGCATGTACTATGAGGACAGTGAAGATCTTCCTGAAAGCCATTTCCATCAATTAGCTCCACTACGAGTATGTGGTTGCCTATGTATCAGGCTGCTGGCTATTATCACTTGAAGTGAAGACCATTATAGATAGGGAAAGTGATAAGCTTTTTCTTTTGTGAAAGTGTTCACCCAAGAGTGCTTAAGCCAAAGGTTTCCTGGTAGCCTCTTCAATAGGTATGTCAGTTTAATAAGAAAATGTATTTTCTTTTCCATTAAATTTTCTTTAAAATTTTCCTTTTCACTCAGACGCCTGAATTAATACACTGCAGTTTGCTGTTAGGACTTCCAGGCTCTGATGAGCACAAGCGGTGTCACCTTCTCAGGATGCTATCCAAGACAGAATCACAGTGGGATAACTACCATCAAATGGGGTCAACAGTCCAGTTCTGCCATGAAAAGTGCATTGCTGACATCTACTGCAGTCTTCTGGCTTTTTTCCAAGGTTTCCCCTCCAGCTGAAATCCCAGCTGAAAACAGGGATGAATATAACATAACAAATGAACAACATAGCTAATTAGTAATTAAAATATCTTACAGCAGGTACTTTCACATAGAATTTCAAATTTCCTTATGAATTCAGCTTCTGAAAGGTGCAGACATATCCAGTGAAATGACAGAGCCAAATAACAAGGTTTAAAATATGTGTTTGTGACAGATGTATTAGAAACAGGGTTTAGAGAGGAAGAGAATCAGGTTTAATGGACTCTGACAAAATTCCATCACAGTGAGTCACATTTTAATAGAAACAGAATAAAAGAAAGCAAGGGTGGGGAAAAGACATGGGTGAAAATCGGAGGTCACCTGCATTGTGATAACTGAAGTTTTGGAAATGAATCATCACACTAGGCAGTGGAAGGTTTCACCTCGGGCTGTGACAGGAAATGCACTGCTCTGTGCAGAACATTTCAGGCTCTCGATCAGTTGCTATTGATTGGGAAAGTACAGTTGCACCCAGAAAGTCTTAGCTTTTCTCTCATTTTCAGTTCGACAGAAAGGAAAATCTCAAGCAGCCATTTTCAGCTTCTCTTTCTCGGAAGAAATGGGGAGTGGGAGGGGAGTTCACAGGGGGAAGACACAAAACTTACAGTTTTAGTTTTAGTACGAGATTTAGTAAATCTCGTACTACCAGTGTCCTAAACAGAGAAAAACAGAAACAAAACCACCTTACTTGAAAGAAGTCCCTATGTATGTCTGAGAGAGACCTTCAGGGAGATCCTTCAAGGACCCTTGTTTATTCATAACCACATAGCTATCAAGTGAATTCCTGTCTGGGCATGAAATTTCCTGGGATGGGACTTGACCAGAAGATGAGCTTATTTCTGGAGTTTATAAGACAGAGGATTCCAAAGTTCTGCCATGCACAGGCAATATTGCTGTGACTTCTTCTGGCTCTGTGACATACTACAGCACAAGTCAGAGTGGCTCACACCTCATCAGTTGTAAACTTGTTTTGGTAACCCTTGCTCATATGTATCTGGATGTGTTTGTATGAACATATACAGAACAAGCCAACATATCTTCTTGATGTGGTACAACCATGTATAGGTTGTACATCAAAATAAAAATGGTCTGCAGGTTGAAGGAAGTGATCCGGCCCTCTACTCTGGTGAGACCTCACCTGGAGTACTGCGTCCAGACATGGAGTCCTCAGTACAGGAGAGACATAGACCTGTTGGATTGCATCCAGGGCAGGGCCACAAAAATGATACAAGAGATGGAACACTTCTCCTAGGAGAACAGGCTGAGAGAGCTGGGGCTCTTCAGCCTGGAGAAGAGAAGGCTCCAAGGAGACCTGATAGAGGCCTTCCAGTATCTAAAGGGTGACTACAAGAAAGAAGGAGAGAGACTCTTCAGCGTGTCTGTTGTGACAGAACAAAAGGAATTTTTTCAAACTAAAAGAGAGGAGATTTAGGTTGGATAAAAGGGAAATGTTTTCTTTGGAGAGGGTAGTGAAGCACAGGAACAGGTTGCCCAGTGAGGTGGAGCATGTCCCATTCCTGAAGACATGCAAGGTCAGACTGACTGGGGTTCTAACTGACCAGCTGTTGCTGTACATGTCCCTGTTCACTGCAGAGGAGTTGGACTGGATGACCTTTAAAGGTTCCTTTCAACTCAATTCTACGTTTCTGTGAGCTCTGTGATGAGGAATGAGGTCAACATATATGCCTTATGAACATTGTATGTGGTTGCAAATGTCTAATATGTCTTTGGAGATAAGTTTATCTGTGAACAGGCAAATGCTGTTTGATGTCTCTCCTGATTCAGGTGTCTCTATACTGTTGTTTATCTCATGTTGTGGATGTGTCTAGTGTGTATGTTTGAATGCTGATGAATGATGAATGGCAATTAAGTGATAGGTACAGCAGCAGTAAACATTTCCACTTTGCTGGGGAAGAACTGGATCTTACACACTGGTAAACACATGCTTACTTACGTAGGTCACTGAAGAGTAATGCCTTCTTTTTATTTCCATAGATACTACAGCAGAGAGCATGATAACACTGTTTGATAGAACAAACTCTGACCTACAAAACACCATTTTTCAACGCAGTCACCACTATTATCACCAGCAATAAACAAGAGCCTTCATGCCACACCTGCAAAAATCCACCCGCTGTCAATATTGCCACTATTGAAATGCATCACCCATCACCTCACTGTGCTGACATCCACAGCTTGATCTCCAAAATGTTCATCAAGCATTGATGAATGTCAATGGGTGCCATTTTTTCCACATGGAGGGATTCAATGGCATCCTGTTTGCTTCATCTGAACTTCCATATCAGTTGCCATTCTGTCAGACTGTCCCTCTGCAAAAAAATGTAACAGTATTGGTGGGAAGGTTCAACTCCTACTGCCATACCACCAACATTTGCCTCTGATGCTGGAGGCCACCGTAATAAAATAAGAGATATTACTGTAAAAGCAGCCCTTGGAGATAAATATGTGCCTGTGCTTGTGAAGCCCCATCAAATTAGGGCACTGTGCCAATTTATATCACGTGGGCTTCACTGCTGTTTCATGTGAGATCTCCACCAAAATCTTAACACGTGTGCAGTCACTTGTGTGCAGGTCTTATTGTTACACCATTTCTTTCACAATAGAATCAAAATTCTGGGAAAATCAGATAAGATCATGATTTGAGGATACAGTTTTAACAGAACAAATATAAAACTCTCCATGTATGAGAAGAGAAATTTACCCACTGAGTTAGTACAGAAAAAGCCTATTAAAACTCTGAGAAGTACAATTTAGACACTGAACCAAATTTTCTTGTTTCCTTATTTTGTGCTTAAAAATACTTATGAAATTATATGCAAAACAAAAATTAACAAATTCCTACCTCAAAAGAAAAGTCTAAAACAAAAGCGGAACCCCCTAATCTCCTGCCAGTCTTAAAATTGCCCAGTATTTCCTGCATTTGATTCATGTGAGATGAAGCATTGAAAAGTTAGGAAATTCCAAATGTTACGGTATCTTACAAGTTTTCATGGCTGTAGGAGAGATGTGTCATATTTTCCTTGTGAAAGGGAACTCAGAATATCAGATTGTTATTAATAGATGCTATTAAGTACGAAGAATGTGAAGTGCAATGGTTAATGATCTTTGAGTGACTGTGAAATGTTAAATGTAACTTTTCTAATTTGAAAAGTATTTTGGAGCTACCCAGCTGTCGATGACTTTCTTCAGCTGAAAAGCCTGCAAAGCAAATTACAAAAAATTCTATGACATTTGGTAATTTTATTAACTACACAGTTTATCATATTTTCTGTGTTTCCTGTGCAGGCAATGCATGTGTGAGAAAATTAATTGAAAAAAAACTATTCCCAAGAGAGTCTCTTGGCTCTGAGCATCACCTAAAGCTGTGTACAATATGCCTGTAGATGTGTAAGTGAGATTGAAAGCTTGTTTTGATCTCCAAAAATTAGCCAGGTTTGGGCATAGCCAAAACAAGTGCTACCAGTTCTTTTTGCTCTAGGGAAGTGAGTGGTGGTGGGATGCTGGATAAGGATTTTCTACAGCATGGTGGTACTAGCAGGGAGTTATAGAATCACAAAATCATTTGAGTTGGAAGGGACCCTTTAAGGTCATCTGGTTGAACTCCTCTGCAATGATCAGGGACACCTACAATTAGATCAGGTTGTTCAGAACCCCATTCATCCTGACCTTTAATGTCTCCAGGGATGAGAGCATCCACCACCTCTCTGGGCAAACTGTTCTGGTATTTCACTAAAGCAAGAATCTCTGACTCTACTTTAAAACACATCTGGCTTTTGGTATTTGTGGGAAAGAAGAAAAATCAGCCAGTAATTTGTAGACTTTTCATATATAAAGTAGAAAATTTTATGTATTTCAAGTGAATTTTCAGGTTTTTTAGGGGCCACCCGAAGATCAACATCCTAGTTAGTTAGCATTCAGGTACATCTTAAGTGCAAGAAGGTTGAAAAGAAGGAATTGAACCACTGAACATGTTCGTTGGACCCTTGTCACTGACACACCTCATATGTTACTCTTCACACTCTCCAGAGGGAGTCTTAAATACAGATGAACCATGATGTAGAACCTGTGACTCAGGTGAAGTGAGAACTGATATCTCCAAAATTCTTCACTAGTGCCCCATTGAGTCAACAATCCTACTATTGTTAGTCTTTCTGGCTATGATGCTACAAACTTTTGCCTTCTAATGGGATCATCAGATTGTGTCTGTCTTACCAGAGCTGATCTATGCCACGAGTGAGAGCTGAGCCAGATGTGTGTGGCGCTGAATGCGGGAGGGGTCTGGCATGAATACTGCAAAAATATTTGAACAGCCTCTATGTTAATATCTATTAACTTTTACCTGGTCAAGCTTGTAAATGTTATGGTTGGAATTTGGAGGGTTTTTTTTTTGCTTTTGTAGATATTCTTATATAATAAATTACATAAGATTTCCAGCTTTGCTGGTATGAATATTAAAGAAGCTTTAAAATTAGAGTTTCATATTTACTGAGATGTTTCTGAAAGCTGGCAACTATTTTGTAAGTAAAATAACAAGTAACAACACTATTGCTCTTTTTTCTTACCAAAACCTGAGTTTAGATAGTTTACACATAATTAATAGTGTTACGATTGGAAAATATTTCATTACATTATATTAATACATCTGAATAGGCATGAATCATGTCACACACAGTTGTTAGGTTCATTGTTAATCAGATCCCTCACATTAACATATTGTAGTTAAAAATGAAATGCCCTGTAACTGACTGTGTAATGCAAAGAGTAATTTCTGAAGCTACTTTATTATCCTGTCCTAAGTAACTTGAAATTGCTTATTTAATTGAATATTCAGTCCCTAAAATATATCCTCACGGTTCTGCTGTTAACTTCACAAAATGCTTAAGGACAAGCACAGCCCCATTGTCCTTTTGGGAGAAGGCTGAAGTTATTAGCTGTTTGAGAGATCCTGATCAGCGAATGCCAAAGCTAAACTTGTCACAACTGTCCTTATAATAGCTGAACTTTCCACTTCCCCAGGAATGGCCTGTCTTGTTACGCTTATTCTACCTGACCTACTTTTCAGCTCTGCGCTTATGGATGCTAAAAAAATTCTGAGTCTCTAGAATGAGGACAGAAATAGCTTTCATAGTGCTGAATCAACACAAAAACGATCCACGGCTGGGCACCTCTGCCTCCTGCTTTCCACAGAAGGGATTTTCCTTTGGAGCCCTGGACTGTTTCTATCGCACCTTTCACTAGCTGAGGAATTTCATTATGAGGAAGAGATACACAGAACTCATGGAAGGCTGCTTAGTTGATGCTATGAAGGTAAAGAAAATAGGAATGAAAATCTACTGTGCTGCAAATATTCAGCAGAAGTTAGTAGTTGTTCATCCTGCTGTACTGTCTGTGTTTTCAGAGAGCTCCAGAGAACACAGCTATGTATAAACTGTTATTGTAAAGGCATGAGGTCAATCCCAGTCACATCTTCATCCAAAAAGCCTACCCCAGATAGCTCTCCTGGGCAGTATTCTGGCACGGTTCAGGGGCAGACCAAGCCAACAGCTTTGCAACAGGCAGGCTGACTCAGTGGTGCTGCTAGGAGAAGGGGGAATCCAGCTGTCTGGGCATCAGCCATCCCATCCTGAGACAGCCTCTGGCCTTTTTACTTAGTATAGACATAGCCACAGAGACTTGGCATCAGGTTACTTAATGATAGCAACATCCTGTGCGTTTATTTATGTGTCTGACTAGGGCAGTGATAAATATGGTTTTAAAACCTCTAACAAATTGCCTTGTTCTTTCCTCAAACAGCAATTAGAGCTCAAACAGCTCTTTGAATATGTGTCCACACGAGTAATAGTATGTAGGACCATTTTCTGGCACTGGTCCACATGTCCCATCTCCTATGGTTAATCTGTTTTATCATACCAGAATGGTTGACTACATCCAAATTGCCTATTGGGAATGATCTTTGGCCAATGGTAACCTCTAAAATGTACCTAGGGATTTTTTTTTCCAGAGAATGAACAAACCCAAACTATGTCAGGGAACATAAATAATGATCAAGCTCCTTTGCCTGGGAAATAAATCTTGGATTTGTTTCATGTATTGACACAAATATTGCCTGAAAGATCCCAGCAAGTTCTTGATTCTGTATAATTACTACTATTGCACTAAGTAACAAATTGTATTCCTTGAATGAAGAAGGTAAAGATTATAACTTCTACTGTACAACTTGGTAAGTTAAAAACCTGTGGAGCCAAATCTTCAGATCTTGGTGGAAGTTATTCCTATAGTCAAGACTGC